CTTAATATTTGGGGGCAAAATTAAGCTATGGACGGATAAAGAAAGGTTTTGTTAATTTACATATAATCGATTGTGTCTATGCGTGTATTTGTGTTAACATCTTTAGGTAAAGCCGGTCATAACTGAAAGTAATTAGAAAAAAGCTTAACGCCAGCCCTGGGCAATCAAGGCTTAACGACCCAAGGAAAAAAAGGAATAGGAATGACCGAAATGGCGTTAGTCTGTAAGTAACCCTGGTCGAATTGATGAGATTTAAGTGTGTGCGCGTGAAAGTCGGGTTACGAAACCACAAGTCCGAAACCATTGGTTTGAGGTATTCAGGTTTAATGAGCTAAGCAGAAGCTTGGCCGCGATTGCGTAGCCCCCCACGTCTGTTGTGGCTGATGAGCTTGACGTGCATGGTGAACGATTGTGGTAATTTGGTTGGTACCATCACTCAGCTAACAAGTTGCATCGTCCTTTCTTGGACGACGACTTAACATCTTCGCTCTCCTTCAATCTTTCAATAAGGCATAAGTATTTCCTACTCATCTTTCTACCACCATTCCCTAATCCATTAATTATAATAGCCTCTCTTATCTTGCGTTCAGTAGCAGACATACCACAATCAACAAGCATCTCAGTACGAGACCATTCTATCTAATGTCCAGTTTTCGTAATGTTTTCCACCACTTCAGATCGTACAAGACCCATCTGCCTCTACAGGCATTTTTGTGCTCCATTCATCTTCAGCAAATCGGCCGACAGGTCTCACAAAGATAAGGTCAAACACAGGAGCCGGATCTTGATAGTGGGTCATAATTCTCTCAAAAATAGAGTTTACTCGAAACGTCAGAGTTTCTCAGAAAGAAAACATGTTGTCAAGACTAAAAACATGACAAAGGGTCTACGCTTGCCTATCTCTGACCAAATAATCTCCGTCAGAAAATCTATCCCTTAATAACGATATATTATTATCAATTAAGCCCAAAGAGCAATTATTCTCCACGATTACAGACTTACAATTCATCGTTTTAACCAGGGTTACTTACAGACTAACGCAATCTCGGTCATCCTTATTCCTTTTTCGCTTCGAGTCATTAAGCCTTGATTACACAGGGCTGGCGGTAAGCTTTTTCCTAATTACTCAGAGTTATGACCGGTTTTACATACAGATGCAAACACAAATACTCGCACAGACACACTCGAGTATACGCAAATTAACCAAACCTTTATAAATCCATCTATATCTTAAAGTTTGCTCGCTATCAATATATATATTTATTTATTTATTTATTTATGTATATATATAATAGGGAAAAAGCCGTTTAGTCTTCTTAACTTAATTTTAACTTGAGGTATGAGCAAAAACGAGTCCCAATTCTGACGATTTCCATCACATGTTACCTCGCTCTGATGATGTCCGTCATATGACGGACGAAAGGAGATTTCGTCGGAAACAGCGTCATCATGAATGCTTCAGTAAAGCCAATCGACAGCTGGTCAAGCGGAATCTGCCGTCGTCTTCTGGTGGAATCGAATTTCGAATCTCTTCAGCCGACACTTTCACTCGAAATGGAAGTAAGCTCGACAATTATGAAACAAGAGATTCCTACAAACCCAACTTTTCTTCGCATAAGTAGAGATCTGTTTATAATATCCACAAACTCAGGTTTCCTTTTGAGTTTCTTTTCCACCCAGGATTTATGATGTCAATGATAAAAATGAGCCTGAGTCTGGAAAATGGTCAGCATTGGGACAAGGAATTGAGACGATTAAGGTTGAAAACATTCATGCACAGGGACTGACAGACAATTATTTAATAACATTGTCAAATCGGATGGAGGGGCATACATATCTTGGTCTAGATTAAGGGCTATACCACTCTGCCAGGGTCCATCGCTGATATTTATCTTTGTCTTTAAAGTCTCATCTTCACTTGTTTATTCGTACTGGTCGGACTGATAGTACTCAACACAGGGTAGTATCAGCTTTTTTCTAATCTGGGCCAATATTTAAAATGTGATAAAATGATAGAATTTTGAAGCTAACAGTAGATTTAGAATATGAACTACAGTCACCTTTCATTTTAAATGGGCGATATCGAAAATATTTTTTTATTTATAGCCCATGATCGTTGAAAAGCTGTTTTTTAACTATGGAATAGTGCTTTAGTAGAAGGTAGCCTTTTGGAAGCGTCATCTCTTAGCTTCTTCAAAGATATTCCTATTCCTATTTTATTCAACTTGGATTAATTCCAAAGGATTACCACAGTTACTAAAATTAGCCATATCAGCTTCATCGGTTTCCCTGTGTAGGTTAAGCCCAAAAATTAGGCTTCACTACTGATGAATGTTAATTTCTCGATGCTTTTAGAGGTGATTAAGAGAGAGTAATAGTGCCGAATCCCAGCTTCTCTTCGTAGAACTTGTCCTTTGTTGCGAATGTGTGAAACCTGGTTGAGCTTTGCAGTATTAACATCTTTGCCAGTACGTTCTGTGTAAAATGTCTTATTGAATCGCACATTAGTGCCATTTTAGGTAGCAATTTTACCTCAAAAGTCACTGCTGTACTGAGCGAATATTTGTGCAAATTTTCTCAATTGGGTTGAAAAATAATTTAGCCCATCCAAACTTTCGTTTTCTTAAGGGCCTTTGCTCCAGATTGGCAGTTGCTTTAGGTCATCACTATGAAGATCCAGATTGCTTAGTTCCTGAGTTCCTAACCAGAAATCATTTAGTACATTTCGGTTTCGATTCCGAATAATTATGGGATACACTTAGCTATATTTTTTTCATTGTTGTGCTCTTTACGAGCATTTTTCTTAATTGATTCAATAAGGAAAAATCAAATTATTGCCAATTTGTATGGATAAGGTCGCATCCAATTGGGGAAAACTTCGCTTTCAATCACTTCAATAAATCTTCTCATATGCTTGTTCAGTCGAAAGTCTCTACAGTCTAAATTCATACCCTTAAAAATAAAACTAATATGTGGAAACAGCTTGCAGGTGTGAACAGTGCCTGTCTGCCATTTCTTTTTTCACAGATTGCCGCTTACGAGTGCTTCTGGCCAGCAATTCTACCCAGTTACAGAAGCTATATTGCAAGCTAGCGACCTGAGGATAAATGATCAGCCTCTGCCGCTGTTGCTGCCCAAGAAGTTTCAGGAGAAAGTTAATGAAGGTTCGTGCGAAAGTCTTAACCACGCCTATGGGCTGAATCCTCCTTGTATAGCCGTTGTCAGTTCCCAGACTCATGTCGGTCCTATTGGCAACCAATTGTCGTCAATCAATGTAAAACACGCAGAATTTCAAAGCCAACCTTCTCACCTGTCCTGTAATCGGCCTAACAATATAGACCAAGTCACAGATGAACTCGCGAAACGTATGATCACACCATTGAAGGTGGGGAGCCAAAACGAGCGAGAGGCTGGCATAATGCTGGATGAAATCTTTCGGAGACCAGTTAGCGTTGGGTCA